CTCCTCTTTTTACAAGTATCACACAAACTCACGCAGTGGTTCTTTGAACTCGTCTTAGCTGTTTTGAGTGTGAGAAAAACTAGAGGCTGATAAATCCAATTTAGAAAACATGTTTCTTATTAATTTTTAAAAATATATATTGCTAAAACATTGTGGACAATTTTTATAATTTTCAAAAAAATCCATTTTTTTTCTCTTCCACGTTGGGCAACCAGCGATGGCCAGCGACCTCCGGCTTGCTAGCGACTGGCGACGGCCAATGAATGGAGGCCGTTGGTGACCGTTGACCGGCCGGCAACTACCAGTAGTGCCCGGTGACTGGCAATGACCGGCAGCCAACGATGACTGCCGACAACCAATGACCACCGGCGATCGGCAATCGGTGACGACCGGCAATCGGTGGTGACCGGCAACTAGCAATGATCGGTGGCGTCCTGCAACTACTGGCAAGCGATTGGCGACCGACGACCACTAACGACTGGTGACCAGCGACGACTAGTGGCAAGCGACGACCAACGACTGACGGCTGCCGACAATAAAAAAAGGAAAAGAAAGAAAAACAAAATAATTAAAAATTATGAAAAATTAGAAAATTAAAAAAACGATTTATCTATCTGGGACTCACTTAAGTAACCCATTTATGATCTATTTAAAACCCATTTAAGGCTCATTAAGTTGTTAATAACTTGTTTATGATACACTTAAGATTGTTTTCAAAACTTAAAACATCCCATTTATGACCCACATTATTAAATATGAATTAAAATATGGGTTCTAGACCCATTTTGCCACCTTTACTTATGGCCCATTAAATTTCTCAATAGATTCAAAAACAAGTCATTAATAAATATTGTCATTTCATTCTGCTCCAGAAGTTGAGAAAGTTTAATACCCAATTATAGAGTTATGAAAATGTAGCTCCTATAGACAAACAAAACCAACACAATACTAGTTCCTGTCATACTTTTTAAGCGCAAGAACATTACATTAATGACTTAATAATAACAGAAAAATTATTCAAAATGTCATAAATCTATTACAATTTTGTCAATTCAATCCTAAACCTTTTAATTGTGCCAATTGAGTTCCAAACATTTTTACTTTTTGTCAATTGAGTCCATCTGGCTAATTTTGGCCGAAAATCGCTAACTTGGACACCAGCCATCTAATACAGCGTCAATGGCATCAATGTGGATAATTTTTAATAATATTATTAAAAAATTGAATTTTTTTATTTTTTCTTTTCTTTCTCTTTCTTTTTTTCTGCTCTTCTTCCTCTAGCGACCTGCCAAAGGCGATGCCCGATGAGGTCAACCTCTCTGGCCTTTGGCGAAGCTCGCTCGCCTCAAGCCTCACCCAGCCAAGGCTAGGCTGACCTCACCGTTGCTAGCTTCTCCCTCGACCTCACGCAATAGAAAGAAGGGCAGAAAAAAAAAAAAGAAAGAGAAAGAAAAGAAAAAAGAAAATAAATAATTAAATCTAAAATATTAAAATTGTCAACGTCAGCGCTTATGACGCCACGTAGTCCACGTTAGCGATTTTAGATCAAAATTGATCAAACAGACTCAATTGGTAAAAAATGAAAATGTGCATAATTAAAAAGTTTAGAACTGAATTGATAAAAGTGTAATAGGTTTAGGATTTTTTGAATAATTCTCCCGTTTTATTCCCACTTAAAGAGATATTTATAGACTCGTATCATCATCGCGATTCTTCTTATTACCAACGAAATACGATTCACATCGAAACATACGCATACACGTACCAAAAGAATACTCTGTTAAGTCTTTCACTCATGCTGGTTAGAGCTTGTTTAGCAATTTAAGGACTTAATAGTGAAAATTAGTCCACTTGTTGAAAAATAAAGGGAAAACTGTCCCGGCCCTCGCCTAGTTATAAACTTAAAATTGTCAGGTTCATAAATACGAGATCGGCTACGTTGGGGGATGTGTTAACGGAGTTTCCAACCTAGGCGTTGTAATCTGATACTACAATCTGACCAAAAAAAAAAAATCTGATACTGCAGTCAATGTGAAGCCACTATATTTACCAATCATGCACTGCTTGTCTCGTGACTTGTTCTCAGCTCTCATACAACATACGAGACATGGAGAAGAGGTCGTGCCAGTTGACGTACGTAGTTGCGGTATTGCTCGTCGTAGCATGTTAGTCTCTCTTTCTCTCTCTCTCTCTCTCTCTCTCTCTCTCGCATCACGCCATAGCCATCACATTTTCACTTATCAATGCATTGACTTTTGACAGTCGTACCAAGCTCTCAAGCGTTCTGCAGATCGACAGAAGCCTGCATCTCTCAATGCCCTACGAAAAAAGGTTACTGTCTTGAGCACATCTGCTATTGTCTTGCAAGCGGCGAACGTGCTGCGGTTGACGACGTTGTCCGACACCCTTGCGCCGGCGATCATGATTGCGTGAAATTCTGCGATTACTTCAAATGCCCGGGGAAGAAGTGTCACAGGGGACTCTGCAAATGCACTTGTGCCCGCTGAATGCCGAACCCTTTTCCCATCATTAGCGATTCGATAAGCATATGAAATTTTCTGCAGTAGATTCGAAAAATGTAATGGAGTCGTGCAAGAATAAAAGATTCAAACAGTTGCTCTATAAGGCATTTTAGATCGGTCACTCAACGATCAAGTTTGCTGCACCCCGCAAGTTCTTGAAAATTTACAATTCTTATCGATAATAACCTGAACTGTGTTTGACCCAAAAAAAAAAAACCTGAACTATGACCAAAAAATTTACGAATTTTTCTTTCATAGGGAATATCATTCATCGTCTTATCTTGAAATCCACTCCGGAGTGATGTCCGTGTCGTGTCAACCTATGATAATAATTAGGTCAACACGAATCAAATTAGAATAAGCAACTCATCAGGCGGGAGACCTTGCACGATGGTCCATTCTCTATTGTGACAAGTTATCGGGAAAGAATGCAACCCCATCGAAACCCACGTACCCTTCGGAGTTCTAGGCACCCAATCACGGACGTGGTCACGGGCACCTCGAGCAATAGTAATGGCATCTAAAACTCCCCCAATTTCAATAATCGAAGCAGCGTGTTGTTGAAAAATTAGTGATACACTCTCCGTTCAACCGTGCACCATCGTTAATGAGTGCACCCATATTCACCAAACGATGTATGGACCACAGGACGGTTGACATGGGGATATTGAGTTGACGAGTGATTTCCCCATATGATAACATTTTTCACATCCCGAACCAGAACATTCAACTTGTCCGAAATCTCACCCAATGCCAAATTAGGATCCGGTCTAGAGAGAAAATAAATTATTTGGAAAAAAAAACCATATATACACAGGCTCTGCTTGTTTTTCACGGAAAATGAATTATTTGAAAAAAAAAATTCCTACAAATGATCGCTTGTATCATTTAAAATAATCAATCAATAAAAAATAGTTCATTTTCGTGAATGATTGCAATATTTTTCATTGGTTCATTTTTGTAAGCAATCATTTTTAGAAAAAGCATTTCCGAATCATTCATTCTCTGCAAAAATAAATTCACCCATAGCCTACAATCATGTTCTTGTTGTATTGAGGTTGGGCCAAGGTAATAGGATGCGGGCGGGCTTGATCGGGCTTAAATGGGCGGGCCCGAGCCGAAGAGGGTATATTATACTCTATGCGACGAGTTTCTGGGCCCGAGCTAGTCAGGTGGTCCGTCAGCCCCATGATCAGGCCTCACTGCAGGCACGAACTCGACTTACGCGAGGAGATTTCGCGATTCCTATCTCGGGTATTATCGATGGTACACATTATCTATTCTCCCATCGGTTCCCGAAGTCGCAACTCAGATCGCGATGGAGATTACGATCTCCGTGCCATAATAAAGGTTGCGGCCGGAGCACTCAACGCGGACTCCATGGTGGTCAAGAATGGCCGACTGGTGTCTCTCTTCCTCCCCTTTGATGCGAATTATTCAGTTAAAATAGGGTTTTTCTTCTTATTTGGAATAATTAAGTTGGTCTTTATCTCCAATAATGGGAATGCCACGTCAAGGCTTATCGATAATAAAAGGGTGTTTCCTATAAGAAAAGGAAGAGTTTGATGGGTCATTTCATTAAAATTATAATTCTTTTTTCATTAAATAAGTTGGGTAGAGGCAATCCGCGTCGGATGGTCACTACTGCTTCTTCTGCTCATCTCGAGCAGTTCCCCCACAATACCTATGGTAGATAGACTCAATTTACGTTAGACCCGTCAAACATGTGAGTTTGGATTTGGTCGAAAATGGTTTAACCCAAATTGACCCATTTAACCTATTTTTGACCCATTTCCATGTAGTATAAAATTCAAAGAGTTATATCCGATCCGAATTATATTACTAAAATACTTCCATATAAAACTAAATCTAGAAAAACTTATGGCCAAATAGAGGTGAGAGCGCAAAGTGAACGAGCGCAAAATCAAAGATAAACTTGTCTAAATAAGTTGTGAACCTATTTAATACCCATATTATTTTTAAGTTTGATTATTCTAAATTCATTTATGATCCATTTACTGAATATAACTGATTTATATAATAACTCAATCTACGAAATATGAATTAAAAACATCCGTTCATAACTCATTTTGACTGTCTAATCTAGATTTTAAAGATGGAGGTATTCAAAATGGCAACGAGAGGAGCTTCAAATCACCATAATTGGAGAGCCCGATATTCATGTCAAATCCGGTTACAGCTCATGCCCGCCTCCGGACAGGTCCGGTGCCTCGCCGCCGCCACAACGCCGACCTCTTCCCCCTCCTTTTAGTCAACCCGTTTCTTCCGCCACCCCTCCATCCCAATTGGCGAAATGCCCATTCTGCCCATCCTCAATCTTCGCGGTTGTGACCCCTTAAGAGGAGGGAACAAGACGCCCACCAAAGTAACTGTAATTTATAGTGTCATTTTGGTCAAACCACCATCCAGCCCCATGTCCTAATAACCAGAAAACAAAAAAAAAAAAAAACTGCTCCGTTCTTCTCTCTCTCCGACTCTCTCTCTCTCTCTCTCTCTCAGAGACGCCGCGTCGAAGTAGTAGAAGAAGGATGATGATGCAGTCCTCCGCCACCAAGCCGCGCCGCAAGGTGGCCCCCGCCGCGGCGGCCGCGGACGGCGGCGGCTTCGACTCAGCCGACAAGCAGGACCAGCTCCTCCTCTCCTCCGCCATCTGCAACAACGAGGACCTCGGCCCCTTCATCCGCCGCGCCTTCGCGTCCGGCAAGCCCGACGCCCTCCTCCACCTCCTCCGCCACTTCGCCCGCGCCAAGGAGTCCGAGATCGAGGAGGTCTGCAAGGCCCACTACCAGGACTTCATCCTCGCCGTCGACGACCTCCGATCCCTCCTCTCCGACGTCGATTCCCTCAAGTCCGCCCTCTCCCGCTCCAACTCCGCCCTCCAGTCCGTCGCCCTCCCGCTCCTCTCCTCCCTCGACGCCTACCTCGAGGCCCGCAACGTCTCCGCCAACATCCACCTCGCCCTCGGCTCCGTCGCCTCCTGCATCGGCCTCATGGATCTCTGCTCCCGGGCCAACCTCCACCTCTCCGGCGGCAACTTCTACATGGCCCTGAAGTGCGTCGACGCCATCGAGGCCCAGTTCCTCGACAGGACGCCCTCGTCCACCCTCAAGAACATGCTCGAGAAGAAGATTCCGGAGATTCGATCCTGCATAGAGAGGAAGGTGAGCAAGGAGTTCGGCGATTGGCTCGTCGAGATCCGCGTGGTCAGCAGGAACCTAGGTCAATTAGCGATCGGGCAAGCCTCTGCTGCGCGACAGAGGGAGGAAGATCTTAGGATCAAGCAGAGGCAAGCCGAGGAACAGAGCAGGCTTAGCTTGAGAGACTGCGTTTATGCTCTGCAGGAGGAGGACGACGACGACGTGCTCAGCGTGGGGAGTGAGAGCGATGGCAAGTCCGAGAATGGATTCTCGGGTCTCGATTTAACCCCGCTGTACAGAGCTTATCACATTCACCAGACTCTGGGGCTCGAGGACCGGTTCAAGCAGTATTATTTCGAGAACAGGAAGCTTCAATTGACGTCGGATTTCCAGGTATCGTCCATGACCCCGTTTCTCGAATCGCACCAGACCTTTTTCGCGCAAATCGCCGGCTTTTTCATCGTCGAGGATCGCATTATGAGGACCGGCGGCGGGTTGATCTCGAAAATGGAAGTCGAGAATCTGTGGGAGACGGCGGTCAGTAAGATGTGTTCGGTTTTGGAGGATCAGTTTTCTAGGATGCAGACGGCGAATCATCTTTTGTTGATAAAGGACTATGTGAGCTTGTTGGGTGTGACGCTGCGAAGATACGGATACCTGGTCGATTCGTTGCTTGACGTGTTGAGTAAGCATAGGGATAAGTACCACGAGCTATTGCTGTCCGATTGCCGAAAGCAGATCACTGAAGCGCTTGCTGCCGATAAGTTTGAACAGCTGCTGATGAAGAAAGAGTATGAGTATTCAATGAATGTGCTTTCTTTTCAGTTGCAAGCTTCCGATATCACACCGGCATTTCCCTATGTCGCGCCATTTTCATCGACTGTGCCGGATTGTTGCCGTATTGTGAGGTCTTTTATTGAAGATTCTGTGAGTTTCATGTCTTACGGAGGGCAGTTGGATTTTTACGATGTGGTCAAGAAGTATCTAGACAGGCTTTTGGGTGAGGTCCTGGATGGAGCTCTGTTGAAAATCATAAATACGTCCGTCCATGGGGTTTCCCAGGCGATGCAAATTGCTGCTAATATGGCCGTATTTGAGCGTGCTTGTGATTTCTTCTCCCGTCATGCGGGACAGCTTTCGGGCGTTGCTCTGAGAATGGTTGAGAGGAGTCGGAGGCAGTTTCCTCTGACTAAGTCCCGTGCTGCAGCGGAGGAAATGCTATCCGGGTTGCTTAAGCAAAAGGTCGATGGGTTCATGTCATTAATTGAGAATGTAAATTGGATGGCCGATGACCCTCCACAAAGCGGGAACGAGTATGTAAATGAGGTGATTATTTATTTGGAAACTCTGGTTTCTACCGCACAGCAGATATTGCCAGCTAATGTTCTCAAGAGAGTATTACAAGATGTCCTATCTCACATTTCGGAGATGATAATTGGTGCCTTATACGGTGATTCTGTGAAAAGGTTTAATGTCAATGCAATCATGGGGATTGATGTGGACGTACGATTACTAGAATCTTTTGCAGATAATCAAGCTCCACTTTTCTCGGAGGAGGAAGCAAACCAGCTGAAAACAGCACTTTCTGAGTCGAGGCAAATGATCAATTTGCTTCTAAGCAATCATCCGGAGAATTTCTTGAATCCTGTCATTCGGGTGAGGAGTTACAACACTTTGGACCACAAGAAAGTTGTGACGATCTCGGAAAAGTTGAGGGATCCTTCAGACAGGTATTTCTCTTCCTTTACAACAAGAGGAGCCAAGCAAAATCCGAAAAAGAAATCTCTTGATACATTAATAAGAAGACTCAAGGATGTCAATTGATTCAGACATGACTCTACTTGTGATATTTCCTTGTTCTAAATTGTCTGTGTCGATTGCATTCTATTTACTTTGTAGAAAATCATTTCTGTTATTGTTAGTGGTAAAGGTCATTCAGGTTTTTCTGTTTATTGTATCGATAGTTTCATAAGTTCTTTTTGGCTGTATAATTGTCACACTTGCATGAGTTGTATCAATTCTTTTAATTATGAGAGCATCTTTCAATCGTGTGCTTCCAACATCCTTAGGAGAACTGATGCTGCTCTTGATAAATCATTTGTGACTTGATGCAACATCTTTAATTCAACATAGACCACCGTTGAACCCTTAAGTCTGATTAGAACTCGTTATTTGTGTAGTAGAAACGTTATCAATTGTCAGCTTATTTCTTGGCTTTATCAACCACAATACTGATTAAGAGAAGAAACTCTCTTCTCGCTCTTAGTACTTGTGATCTCTTCCCTGTGTTGGGATTGATTTGTTTTTTGCGTCGTCTTCTTTATAATGATCCCCTTGATCCTCTAATTTGGCACGATATTATCTTTTTGATTGTGTGGAACTATTTTTGGCTTTATAAACATCTGTCACTTGCCATGAATAAAATGTGAAGAATCACTTTGGAAGAAACAGGATTGGATCCATTTGGTGACTTCTGCTTGCGTAGACTGTAATCATGGAAATCATGGACTTCCATGTTTTATGAAACATGGACTCCTAGATTCACCTGTGGTAGCATATGATGGCTAAACCCCGTTTATCCCAGAGAGCATTATGAGGCAGGATGTATATGGTAATATGTCTGTAGAACTAGCAAATTAGGGATAAATAATTGAGGTGGGTTCTGCTGAGAGCTAGGCAACCATAAACTTCTGGTTCTTCACAATAGAGGACAAGTTAGAGTTATTAATGTTTCAATTATTTTTACTGATAGAAATTTATGGATTCAATTATTCTGGGAGCCCCAGGATGTATTTCATGCCATCATACCATAAGGAAGCATATGCCCAGACCAGAGACTCCTGAAGTTAATTAAGTTTTTCCAGTTGCGACTTTGGAGGTTAGATCATGTGAAAAAGTAGGCTTTTTGGTAGGAAACTGACTTGTTGAGGTTTTACCTTCTCTTTCACTATGCACTGCATGCAAAACCGTTGCTCACCCCTACTGAGGATGGTTCCGACTGAACACAATAAAATGGATATCATTGCCATTGCAGCATGGTATATTGAGGTATCCCTAGTGACCATTTTGAGTTGAGGCCTTATCCTTACGGCTTGTCTCTTCATGGACATCTGAATTGTCAAGACTAGCGAGCTTGTTTCCCCTCCTATATAGTGTTGAGAAGAAAAGTAAATTAAAGGCTGCATAACTGATTTTCCAGAAGTCGGGCATCATTCAAGACTTGAAAGAACCTTTAGATTTTGCTGCTACATACTACGCCCCTTGTGCAGTGGCTATCTCAGCTATTTTTATTCAATCAATGTGAGCTTGGTCTTCTCATGCTGACATAAAAACATCCATTTTCATGTCTTCTGGTACAACTCTTGAGGGTTTGCCCCTTCTTTGTATGTAAAGTGCATACCTTCAAGTTCAGAATATGTGAACTCTCTCTCTCTCTCTCTCTCTCTCTCTCTCTCTCTCTCTCTCTCTCTGTACGCATTTGAGCTTTCTGATCTTTGATCCTTGTAAATCTATGCCTCAAAACATCCATTGAATGATCAGTGAATGTATTCAAAATCTGTCTTCCGGAAGGATGCTTCCATTATTTAATTGTCAGATTATTCTCGGTTCATTCTTTAGCTGAGAGCCGTGCTGGTCAGTCTTGCAGTCATTTATCATTTGGAGAAACTAATGAACCCGGTTGTCCATGACTGATTAAATTCCTTGTCCGCTCCATTCAAGAGGCATTCCGCAAGCTTCCAAAATATGCATACCCTAACTCTAGCCTGGATGAGAGTAGCTCGTGCCAATTTACAGATAGGACTCTTCCATCTTATGGGACAAAGCTGGCACGGTGCCCTCAGTTTTGGACCCTCCGGTGTTGCTGTTTTTCTTCTAAGATTCTGTGAGATGAAATTTTCTATTCGCATCAAACCTAAACTCATCTTTTCCAAATTGCCTAGCTCATGTTAGAGAGAGAGATGTCTGTCCTAAAGCAGATAAGAAAGATGGAGTGGTTAAGCGACCAATTGTCATCATTCTAAGAAAATCTTTGGGAAAGATAAAATTAACACACAGACAGGGTGGTTGCTCTATGCCACCTAAGAGAATCTATTAATGTCACATGGCCCAGACATTACATTGAGACCAAACACTTCTTGTTCTCATGTTCCGCACTATGGATTGGATGAATGTCTTCAGTATCTATTTTAAAGCTACAGCTATGATGCTTGCTTCATGCTAATTACTATGGTTGCTTGGTTTCAATACCTATAAAACTTGAGTTCAAGAATTTTTAGTCGTGACGGTATTCTTTTTGGCCATAGAATTAGAATGTTGTGTAATAAAATAGTGCTCAATGTTTCCACTCCTTTATGTTAGCTAGTCCAGATCAAGCAAATCATCCTCCTTAGGATTGTTCGTAAGTGTTGTTCTTATAGGGAGTAACTCTATGCGCGGGTTATGTTTCTTTGTGCAGATTATAACGAGCTTGTTATTCTGAGATATCTATTTAATTTGTCGTCGCTTTCTATCTGTCAACCGTCTTATGATCTGCTCTAAAAATAAAGTGTTTGGCCAAGAATTTGCTGTGATTGAATGCCTTCTTTGTATATAGCATCTAGTTCACTGTAAATTGCATCTAGTTTGCTGATCGTATTGCGGCTTGGAGTCGGTGACTATTGAGGCAGTGTTCTTTCTGGATTATGATCCGGTTAGGTTGTCGCTATTCCATGAACTATTCTTGGTAGAGCTAGGTCATTATTCACACGATCTCACTAAATGCTTAAGCAAGTGTAAACTCGTTTCCCCTCGTTTGCTTGGTGAGCGAGTGTAGCCAAGCGATTGCTTTTGTGTGTAGTAGCATTTGTTCGTCTATACGACATCATTTACCGGAACTTGTTGGTCCCGGCTCAAAATTCCATCTGGCATCTCACCTACGTCTTGATCAACAAATTGAAACCATGACCTGAGATTTAATCAGTTGCTTTTAGGGGATGGAGATGCTCAATCTTGCAAGAGAGCAACTTCGTTAAGTCGATTCGTCGCGTCATAATGTCGAATTTTGCTCTTTGGCTTTGCTTCTTTATGCATTGATCGATCCTCTCAATGCGCAACTCTTCCAAGTCGACCTTGAGCATAAAACCGAGACGAGACAGAATGTAATAAAGTTTGATATCTTTATCTTATGAACCAGACGTAGGATGAGAAAATCTTGCATCCGAAATGCTAACCTATCAAGTCATCTTATAACTAAAACTCAATTAAGTTGATTGGTCTATAATTCAAATCTAACCATATAAAGGACATCAAGATTGCACATTCAGAACCTAAATCATGATCCATATGCACAAATACATAAACTTAATTATGCAGATCTGCTAAGATGTATACATCAAACTGCAAGTAGGTCCACCCTCATGGAATATGCCATTATCCATATCCATTTTTCCCCATGTCGTCTCTTCAACCAAACTCAACTATATATAGTTTCTCTACCACCTGCCTCTCAAAACCAAACGGTCAAAAGATGTCACTCCTCTTTAAATCAATACACAAAGAAGGGGACTTCGCATCATCTCCGAACCAAGAACACAGAGACCATGTCCCTCCCAAAACATCTCCATGTCCATCTCTACCCAATCCTCATCTTCACCATCCTCTTGATCTTCTCAACCCCACCATCGCATTCCTCCTCTGCCGCCAATGACAACTCGCTGTCCGCCTATGAAGTCCTCGAGGAGTACGACTTCCCGATCGGCCTCCTCCCCAACGGCGTCCTCGGCTACGAGCTGGACAACTCGACCGGCGAGTTCACCGCGTACCTGAACGGGTCGTGCACCTTCTCAATCGACTCCTACGAGCTCAAGTACAGCTCGTCGATCACCGGGATCATATCCACGGACAAGCTCTCGAGCCTGAGCGGGATCAAGGTGAAGGTGTGGTTCTTCTGGCTCAGCATAGTCAAGGTGGTCCGCGACAGCGACGAGCTGGAGTTCTCTGTCGGGATAGCGTCCGCGGACTTCGCGGTGAGCAACTTCGACGAGTGCCCGACCTGCGGGTGCGGATTCGACTGCGATAGCGTGGAGAAGAAGAGGAAGTTCAGGATCAAGAACCCCTTTTGGGCGTCTTCCTAATCAAGAGAGACGTGTTTCAAGATCTTATGGATTAATCGAAATGTGGGAAATGGCGGTGTGAGCAAAGTAATCTCTTGATCGAACTATTTTACTTTCTTCTGTCTCCTAGTTTTGGGAATTGGGTGCATTTCGGTAGTGTTCATGGATTTGTCATAATGTCAAACGGGCAAAGATGTTGGTGTCTCGAGGCTGGTTGGAATTTCTCGTTCTAAGCTTTTCTTGGGCTGGTTGGGATTGAATCGAAGGTTGAGAATTTTGTGTAATTTGATCACATTGCATGCGATGCGACTAGATTTAAGAGGCCTGTGGAGTGGATCAATCGCAGCTCCTGATTCTAATGGTTACTGTTAATTAGACAAAGTCCAATCCTATGAAGTGGAGCCACACGGTGTGAAAATCACTGCAGAGATTGTCCTAACGATAGTTTACCAAGATTGTCCTAACGATAGTTGAGGTTCTTCACTGTTATTCAATTTCATCATCAAATTTATTTTTGGGATCGATGAAAAAAAAAAAGGTCAATCTTGAGCAAAGAAACTACATTTTACGAATTGGAGCTCGAGCTTAAATTTAAAATTTTAATGGATTAAAGTTATGGATTTGTGATTTATTGGTAATATATTGTTAGGTTAAGGTACGGGCGCAGTACGTGTGCATGATTAGTAATTAGATAATTAACGGAAAGAAAATGAATAGTTATGTACGGAAGGTGGGTATAGGATAAAAAGGATAAGGGTAATTTAAGAAATCTAACAGCGAGAAGAGAGAGAGAAAAAAAAGGCGAGGTGTTATTTAAGAAATGGGCGATACGAGAAAACAAAATGGAAGAGTAAATTAGAAGATGTAAAAATGTGACAAAAAAAAAAGGGCAGCGGTATTTCTACCCTTGAATGACTAAATCTACCTCAATTTACACTAAAAAAATAAAATTGCCCTCAATCTTTGGGAGAATTACCAAAAAAGTCTTAAATCTATTGTATTTATGCCAAATCAGTCCTAAACATTTTTTTTACCAATTGAGTTCCAAACTTTTTGCATTTATACCAATTCAGTTCATTCGGTCAATTTTGACCTGCTGGCACTGACTTGGACATCAACCGTCATACATGGCGCAGTCGACGCTGACGTGGACATTTTAAATAATATTTTAATATGTTTTCGATTTTTTAATTTTTTTTAATTTTCTTTTTCCTCCTTTTGTTTTCTTTCTCTTTCTTTTTTTTTTCTTCTTCCCTTCCTTCTTCCTCTAACTGGGTGTCAAATCTTGGCAACTGGCCAAAGGCGAGGCCTCACCAGCTGACCTCGCCGTCACTAGGTGAGGCTCAACGACAGAGAGCTCAAGCCTCACCATGGCTAGGTGAGCAATTAGGTATCAGGATATTTTTTTGTAAATAGTTCGCAGGAGATATTAATTTTTGTCAATCTAAAATAATGATATTTAACTGGAATTTTCCAAAAAAAAAATCTTACTTTATGTAGAGTCTTGATTTGTTAAATTTAATCTACTTAACAATTTATCCATAAATTTGATCAACAGCGTAGAAAACAACTAGATTTCTTGGAAATTTCTCTTTTCAACGAAACAAATTTTATGGAAGTAATATCTAACAATAAATTAAAAAAAAACATAATGCCTTTGATATACATGCGAAAATTTACAATAAACAAAAACTAAACATATTAAATTCTTAATTATGGTAAGTAGATCATACATAGATATAAAAAAACTTAAAAAAGGACAGTAAATAAATTTGGGACCACCAACTTAAATTGCAATTGAATGAAATTTTGCTTTTATGATGAAAATTAGGAGGATTTAATCGTCTAGGTGGGTGGAATTAGCGTCGCCTAAAAAGGCATATGTAGATGACTAAGGTCGACTTGAATTTGACAGGTGTCACTTTTTTTATGTGAGGGATAATGACAAAAATGTTCCTTGAACTTTAGCCCAATGCACAATATGATCCGTGAACTTTTAATTTGTTCGATATGGTCCATAAACTTTGATTCAATGTGCAATGTGATCCCTCAACTTTTAATTTGTTTAACGCGATTCCTAAACTTTTGGCACATATTCAACTTAGTCCCTAAGCTATATGAAAATGTTCAATATTATCATTCCATTAATTCAAGTTCATAGATAATATCGAACATTTTCATATAGTTTACTGGCTGAAATGAACACTTACCGAAATTACAAGGATCATATTAAACAAATCGAAAGTTCAAGGACCACGTCGCACATTGGGCCATAATTCAAGGATCACAATGAACAAATTAAAAGTTCGAGGGCCGCATTGCATATTAACAAAAAGTTCATGAACCATTTGTGCCATTTTGACGTGCCTATGATGAAACGCCGACGTATTTCCACCTTCCAAGGAGGAAGCAAATCGAGTTACGTTGTGTTGTTGTGTCCCACCGCCCACCGTCATTTGGTAAGAGAAGGCCCAAGCCAGACATGTTCCGATCGTCGTCGTCGTCGTCGTCATCGTCATCGTCATCGACATCGACATCGTCGTCGTCCCCACCCTAGTACAAATTCTCTGTCTCTCTCGCTCTGTGTTGCACAAGTGAGACAAGCTGAGTCTTCGAACGCGGCCATGTCTCCCTCTCTCATCCTCGCCGCCCTCTCCCTCCTCCTCCTCCTCTTCTCCGCCGCCGACGCCGCCGCCGCGTCCCCTCTCGCCTCCGCCGCCGGCGACGGCGACGATGACGACGGCCGGTCGGCCTACGAGGTCCTCGAGGGGTTCAACTTCCCGGAGGGCATCCTCCCCAAGGGCGTGACCGGGTACGAGCTCGACCGCCCCACGGGGAAGTTCCGGGCCTACCTGGGCGGCTCCTGCAGCTTCTCCCTCGAAGGGTCGTACCAGCTCCGGTACAAGTCCACGATCAGCGGGTACATCTCGCAGAACAAGCTCACCAGCCTCACCGGGGTCAGCGTCAAGGTGCTCTTCCTGTGGCTCAACATCGTCGAGGTCGAGAGGGTCGGGGACGAGCTCGAGTTCTCGGTCGGGATCGCCTCGGCTTCCTTCACCATCGACAACTTCTTCGAGTCCCCGCAGTGCGGGTGCGGGTTCGATTGCGTCGGCGGAGGCGGCGCGAGGAAGATCAGGATGAAGGCTCTGGCTTCTTCGATTTAGGGCTTTGCTCGGTAGGTGGGGATCATACTGTTTCTCTTTCGTTCCTTTGTCGTTCTTTCTTTCTTTTCGGATTGGGTGATTCAAACGGATTGATCGCAATTGGAATTCGAATTGCTTTTTACTGGTTGGTGGTGACTGGTGGCTGCTTATTGCTGATGTATTGTGATGAGTCGACGCAATTGGTGCTTCTCGGCATATAATACATATAATGTAGAATAAGACCAATCAAATTAAGCAGATTGGTGGTTGAATTACAAACACGACGATGGTCGGAACTAAAGCCTTGGACTTGCGGGCGTGGTTTCAATCATGTTGTGCGGATCGATCCATGGACTGTTCGTTGAGATGAAATGGAGATTATAATCTGAAACGGGTTTCTCGAGGAATATTCGCCATTGTTTAGCGCTAGGTAAGTGCATAGTTTAAGAAAAATATATGTAGAGTCTGGGTTCCCTGTCAGGGTATCACCTGATACCAGATTGCCAATGATCTGTGCACGGATAATATTCTTTACTACAGTGCATTTGATCAGAATGACAAAGTTAAACAAAAAATTCTACTCATGGACTCCTGTGGCGATGCATTTGCTTAATGTCCTTTTGCGGCATGGAAGCTTGTATGCATTTGACGACTGATGACAATCTGGTGTGGAATGTGATACAGGCACCTCTAGTGTCAAGTTGTATAGTCACTATCCTTGTGCATATCTCGCAACATTCTCTCAAGGAGACATGAAATCTCTCTGGATGAAACCAAGAAATAGAGCTACTGTGAACTAGATGACTACTTGGATCTGGTTTTGCGACATAATGATTCTTATCACTGCGTTAGGGCAAGTCATGTTCAGCTAATAGATCTCCACTCTGTTAATCGAGACAATTTCGTCTTTATTCGGTAGAGGATCTACCTTATGTATGCAATGGAGAACCTAATCAGAAAAGCAAGTGAAAGTTGTGGACTCATCTGTGGATATTGAGCATGTATCATTTGATTGCAGGATTCCTAATTTGTAGGGCTTCACATTGTGCTGAAGGTTTTCTTTTCAAACTTCATGTGGTGCTCTCGTGTCAAAACATAGACATTGAGTGCTCATAATGAGGAAAAATTTGTCATTTTGGAGATCCTGGCAATGACAGGACGATGATGGGAATATTTTGTTTTGCCAATAAGATCCATGTCGACCATAGCTGATCTTGCAACTATTTCTCTCATGTTCTAAATGGGATGCTCTGATGTTATGCTCCAGGGAGAGCATTTGGCCTCTTTGGCCTTTATGGATTGAAACTGTGTGACAGTTCTTGTGCTTTTTCAATGCTAAACTTTGAATGATGACGATGAACAGCTGGAGTGCATAATGATGCTGTATAAGTTGTTTAGAATTAGATGCTTCCTGAATAAGCAAAGCTATGTAAGTCTTGGTTAAAGCTGCCACATTGAGAAATAGTAAACTTAACTTCTCTTGGAAATGCCAAAGTAATGAGACAGTTCATTCACTAACTGAAATTTTTTTTGGAAGTCTTGGTTTTTTGAATATTGTGATACAAATAGCCGACCTTGCCTTCTAGCTGTCATCCATTGAAGGGCTGGAGCAGTGAAATTATGTCGAGACTTTCTTATTCCTTGGAATGCAACTTCCTAACTCCTGAAAAAAGGCGAAAGATAATCATCTGGAGGGCTGTAGGAGTAAAATTGAGAGTTTCTTATGCTGTAGTTTGCAATTTGCTTAAGCCAGTTAACTGTTGAATGATGATGTACACATGACATCGTTTGATTGAGGATTCAGCATGCAATGGTTATCACCTTTAGGTTCATCTGGGTTGGATCTAGGATTAAGCCTTGGAATTTGACTCAAAAGAAGCCACCAAAAATTGCTTCTTGACCGATCACTAATTGCATAATGAGCAATGTTGTATGTGTAGAAGAGGAAAAGGATATGAAAATATGTTTGGACTTAGTTGTTGTGATTCTGGCACCTAATGATCAAAAGTGTCGCTTACCTCAGGCGGTCGCACAGATGTAAATCATGGACTTGTCACATTTTGAATTGATTTGCTGCGCATGGTTAATTCTCCTGATTTATCTGGATATCTCCCCCGTTTGTCAGGCAGTGTTGGGTGAAGTCGGTCTGATAAAATGCTTCGAGTTGCCAGGGCCACTATTATTCCGAAGCCCATGGGTGTCTATGGTTTGAGCAGAATGAGAAGTGGAGAGAATAGGCTCTAAAATTTGGGTAGTTTCAAGGTCATAGTTATTGGCATGCTCTCGTTTTGGCATGAGATGGCTTACCTATACAAACTGTGCATGAGATTCTAGCGATGGGCAGGTTGTCAAGGTCAGAATTGCATAGGTGGTTTGTAGTTTTCTGATTAAATTCAGCTTATTGTTGGCTCGGCAGCGAAGCTTAATGAATTTGGGTAACTAACAATTTACTTTGTATTTGACAACTGAAGCAACTTTTGAAAAAAATACTAGCCAGCATTTGATTTGTACGTTCTTCTTTGTTGGGTGTTGGGTTGTAATTAGATGGCTTTGTACAATTAGCATCTTTGTACTTTGCTGAGAATGGCATTAGTCATGTTTACTGAAACACCAAGAAAGAATAAGCCTGGGCAATGAAGAGTGCTGGAAAGTGGAAAGTTAGAAAAGGATTGGCATTTTTGATATAGCTGCTTGCTTTTAGCAGATTTGTCTTTGAAAAAATTCGAGGAAGTACGTGATCAGAAGCACTACTCCATTCAGATATTCATGATGATCCAAAGTGTAGGCCATTGACATGCCAGTAGTTGGTCTATGAGATGAATGGAGCCAATGTTGATTTCGGCTCTAGGCTTTTTCCCCCAGTTAGTCATCTTCTATTTCGGCAGCAATAGATCTCGCTCTCTCCCTTGTTCTCTAAAATTGGTATCTGAACATGGTATTGTCAGAATGATGCTACTTGGAAAGCCAAAGTGGATACCTGCTGACTGGCTGCTTTTCTGATATTCTTGGAGCGTACCGGAAAATAGAAATTAAATGAGAAAGAGCAACTATCTAAAAATTGTTTAATGGAGATTCATCTCCCATTCGCTCATCTTCAAATTTGGCTGAAAGAAAAGCTTATGCTTCCTACAACTATTATTCTCACTTCTGTGTAGCATTGTTTCATTATAAATTCTGCACTAGAATTATATGGTGAATGGAATATGTCATACATCAAACTTGAGATTCATATGCTTTATCTTCTTTCCTCGAGTCTCCTCGCCTTTGTCCTTACTTTTTATTTAGTAGCTTCTCTTATTGCTGTCGTTTATTGTATACCCCTCGTGTATTTGCCTCCTTTCGTGGCTAGTTCACTTTGTAAGCTCATCGTCTTTGTTTTTTTCTCATTTTTCTTGTGCTACTGATAGAGAGCATGCATCAAGAGTGTGACCCTAAGCTCGGCTTGAAGGATTTTACTTTGCATCTCTGAGATTATTTTTCTGGGCACGATTGCTGCTAACGTGTTGAGTCCAATCGATTTCGACTTCTAGCAGATAATATGGGGCTACAGTGATGATTTGCCACGATACAAACATTATTCAAGGTGTTATCTGACAATCATTGGAAAGGAATTCCAGTCAAGAGTAGGACTTATCTTCGATATCAGTTGGTCCGCTCAACTGGTGTTCTTGACTGGCATTGCTTGTGTGGTGCTATCATGGACTGTAAGGGAAGTGTCTTATATCAAAGGGAGTGTCCATTGTGTCATCGACCGGCATCCGAACTCCCTCATTTGAATGTGGAATTACTGTTCAAATTAGGGACCACAACCCAATTTCACCAATCTCTAATCTCTCTTTCTCATCCTCTCTCCTCACCTGTGCAGTCCAACCACCGTTATGGTAGGCCGCCATGGTCACAGAGTCCATCCTGCTACCACCATCCCCTCTCTTCGAATCTGTCTCAGCAGCCATTGTCCTTCTCCTTTTGTCATCCGCACCTGCTTCTCGAGATTAGAGAACTGCAACTTGGTGATCATTCCATAACTAGCAAATTATTAGCAGATGGATTGTGCTTAATTTTTTATGTGAGCAACATCATCATCCTCCAACGTTAAGTCACCTAACAGCTTTTGCTATGGCCTTTAAGTGCACCTATGAAGCTCGTCGCCATCAAGGTGGCGACACTTGATCTAGCTCACCGATGTGGACAAGCTAAATCTGGCTTTAGCATCTTTGTCCAGTGTCGACCACCATCAACGATGGAGCTAAAGATAAGAAACAGAAGTGCAAACCAAGAGATGGAAATGAATGGTGAACCAAAGAGTGATTGGAGATGGTGTTAAATGGTGGCTGGCAGTGATCAGAGGCTGAGTAATTGGTTGAATCTCCGGTGTTGGTGGTGGTCGAAGGTGGCGGTGCCAGCATGTGGGGGCTGTGTGATTGACTGAAGGTGGAGGGGACTGATGAAGGAGGGCGTGGGTCGATCGGGATGGTGGTTTGGGTTGAGTTTACATACAATGAATGTTGACGAAACAAACGACTCTTTTGTCCAGGGAAAGATATGATTCGCCGCAAACTAGAATGGCAGTTTCTGAGCAACAAGTATTCAAATTCATGTCATTGTCCACCCCGTCTGCCCAACTTTCATTGTTTGACCGTATGTCTCGAATGTTTCGTGCACACTACTTGCTTCCCTAATGGTGTTTCTGCAAACGGTGCGACAAAACCTGCTTGCGTGACATCATACTTCCCTTATCAGTTGAATTTACGATGCGTCACCTGCATTTCATAGTACCGCAACTCAAGGAATTATAACGTAAGATTTACAAAAGGCGAGTACGCTACGTACAGAGTCCTATTACTCGCGACTCACAAGCAAAAACTAACAGATGGTCCTAGAATCCCCTAAGCAAGGCCAGGACAATAGCACACAAGCACAACAGTGGGATGCAGTGAACTGTTGATGGCAATTAGTTGTTCTTCGGTGGAAGATGCTTTCACATCATGACCTAACAAGACCGTTCTTCTCGGACCTCAAAGGACAACCCCCTAGGAAAAGCTGTTCCCAAAAACATACTCTTCACGTTTATACAGCTGATGCTTCCAAAAGCACTGGAAGTTTACAACTTGAATTGAAAGACTCTTTTGAACGTGCACAGCCGACGACAACAGAGACAGAGAGAATATGCAAACGCGTGCGCGCATGTTGAGGTCATCGGACCAAGCCCCTTGTTCACTTGTCCCTTAAGCGTTTCCTTTGGGCACAATGCAATAGCTGACAGCGACTTCAAGAAAACTCCGCGTGTTGCGAGATGTCGGGTGTACAAGATCTAGTGGGCCACGTGAATCACAGACGCTAATGATGCAAATCCTCGATAAGCCCCACCTACGAATATGAAAAGATCAGCAGTTGTCATCGTGTCATGTTCATGAATTCGGTGAGAGACGTCGGATGCACGTGATTCAGTGGACTGGGTCAATTACAACCGCTGATGATGCAAATCCTCGATGATCCCCACCTATGAACACGAAAAGATCAGAGATGGCAATCGCACCGTATTCATGAATCTGGGTCCGGACAAAGTTCCTTCCGGGACAAACTTCACGTGTCACGTACGTGAAATCTGGCGTTCTAAGTTGCGTATGCATATTCCAAATCCTAATTAGAGAAATATTATATTCAGGCCAGTGCTGGTCGCCTGCGCAGGCATTATTCCCATTTGAAAACGTTTCTCTGCACAGCTGGTCGAAAAAATAATGTTATCTTCAATGCTTATCCTTTCTCTTGATGCATTGGAAAAGAAATTTTATGGTCAACTCCGTTCATGATTGGCAAATTATATAAACTAATAGACACATTACGTTATTTCGTGCATTTTTGTCGGTTCGTCTCTTGCGCCTGCATCTAGTTAGTTCCTCTTGTCGATTCGTGCATTATGAACCAAACATGAAAGCTAAGAGTAGGTTTTTGATAAAAGTGACTCTAGTTCATGCATCGGTGCGTATGGTTAAGCTTTTTTTAAACGACCTAGAGCCTCTAAAGGTCTTGGTGCCAAAGTTGAGATATTAGCTAACTCATCAATCCCAAAGGTCTTCAAGCCAAAGTTTAGCATTTCCAAAGTTCTTTAACCCAATTGATATGAATCTGTGCGGAAGATGATCGTTCTACGAAGATCTGTGAGTTACGAATTGCTGACATCGACCCCAATCGAACCTGTGATTGGTAATTTCGGTATGAACGCGACCTGTTGACGAACCTGTGTCAACCAATCCACGCTATAACGCCACGAACAAGAGAATTCGCGATCTTGCTCGATAAGTTGAATTCGATCGCCACAAGGGAGCCTTGATAAGATCTAGTCCTCAAGAGAATTCAAGAAGAAAATTTCTCTATATAAAATTCTGCCTCCTCTCTTAGAAATCTATAAGCAACCTTATATAGGGTGTTAACCCTAACCCTAATCCTACTAGGATTAAAATTACAAAAATAACCTTAATTACTAAAAATTCGTCCAAAAATGGAAAAAGGCCTAAAAGTTCATCTAAACGACTCTAAATCGCTAAAAAAACGTCATCAATCACTACTAAAGTAGTGAGTATTGATCAGCCGCCCGTTTCCAAGTGTCCATCCAAATTTGAGCCAATTCGGAGTTCATCAATTCTAAGCTCCTTCGGAATTCGCTGGACCAAGAGTAATCATGTTGCGCCAAGGAGCTTCAGAATCTTCAAGTTTCGAATCCAGATTGTCTCCATTCCAAATATCTTGAACCATGATGCCGACAGCTTGTTTGAATTCCTTTGCTCTCGCTCGAGTGATCGGGCCTAGCGGATAGAACAACGGGTTCCTAGCACCTCCTCCTCGATAGGGTTCGATGTCCACATCACCAATGCACTCCCATCCGACATTTGTGGAATACTATTCGGGTATTTAAAGACTTCTTTTTCTTTCAATCTTGCCCTTACTAATATTTTTGTGTTCCTTTGTTTACCGTTGAATGTTGTTTGTTAGTGTTCATTCTCTCTCCTGGAAACACTAAAGCTGTTCGTTGCTCCGTTGAGGGTCTCCGGTTGACGCTCACCGAGGGTCCACGGTCGATGAGATCGTGCTAGATCTAGAGGATTGACTGTCTCAGAAATCGAGATATGGTCGCACAATTTAGAGGGTAGTACGAGATCTGGTTGCCAAATGTCAACCAGCCGAGGTCGAGGCTCGCTTGTCACGAGCATGAACGCTAGGCAAGGTCAAGGCTCGCCTGGTCGTGCCTTGACGCTTGTTGTGGTCAAGACTCGCCCGGTCGACGGTCGCCGCCAATGCTTGCCCAGTAGCCATGCTCTCTATTTGCTTTCAGTGAATACAACTTAATAAAAAATCTCTGGAGAGCTGACTCCAAAGCTCTCCCAAACGCACTCTCCATTTATCATATGTACTTATCAAGTTAGCCAAAATAAAATACGAGTCTTTCTACTCAGCCCACAAAAATCAAAACAGGCTAGTTCTTTTAAATTAAAGATGGATGTGTTGGAGTAGTGAAACTTGCCTCCTCCCAAACGACACTTTGACATTGTCACCATCTTTGCCACAATAAATATAAGTTCCCTCTCTTATACGAGCGAACTCGAGACAATTCACCGCATCTTAGCTTCACGTTACAAAAATACAAAAAAAATTAATATAGAATAACTACTTGTAATCTTTTGTAATTTGGTATGACCACGGTACTTGCCTCGTCGGCATTATAAAACAAGTAACGAAGTTTTGGCGTAGGATAATAACACGGAAAATGGACAATTGACAACAAGAAAACAAAATCAAACAGGAATTGATGGTGATGAGTCCTCATGATTTGTGTGGTTGAATCCCTTCACTTTCTCACCACTCATCTAACCATTTTTTTCTCCGAGGATCGAAGAAAATCCCATCCTACCGTACCTTCGGTTGAAACACGATTAAAAGGAACCAACGGCCGGTAGACAAGTAACGCGGGATACTTTACGACTCATTTCGCATGCAAGCCAAATTAGAAAGGACGCATGGAATTTTGCGAACACGGTCGTGCACACCAAATAAATCGGGGCGAAATCTAGTTCCGATGTCATGTCCAACCTAAAAGTTTATACCGATAAGTACGGCGAGACCACAAAGTATAAAAAGAGCACATGGAGGTTTGTTTTTGCTCATAATTACACATTTATTCCACAAGATAACTAGATTTATCATTAAGTCTGTGGGTAATTGGGTGGCGTCGGCAATTTCTTCACCGACAAATAAACAAGCGATTTCTGTGAAGGGCAGTGGAGGATGATTTCGGCACACACTTTCATCATCATCTACGAACGGACTCAAAATCAAAGACAGAAGACAAGTCGCGGCTTATCTTCTTAACTTCTTTATGGAAAGACTAATCACATCCCAAACATAATAAAGAAGTCTCTAATCGGGATTATGTGCATCCTCGTATCGACTCTAGTCGATCACATCATTCCAAATGGAAAGAGAACTTAAAAGTTCGTACAACGACGCGTGCATGCGATGATTAATTCAAATGGATAAAGATGTCGTGCTTCGAAAAAAACCCTAGAAATCCCTCGTGTTCATATCAAAAGGTAAATCCTCTTCAAATTGGTGGATGGGGATAGCGTTTTCTAGAACGAAATATTCAAGCAAGACCGGTCCAAAAAATCATTCCCCAGAAGAAATAACACGTATTCAAATTTCAATTTAAGAGTTTTTCTTGATAAAAATTGAATAATCTCTCATTCTCCTACGCCTTGGACATGCTTCCAAATTTACACGTACTTCTATGGAACTAGAATGTATTTGGCGAATCTAACGCACCTCGTGACAAAGAACCAACGAAGAAGCAAGACGGTCCATGTGTAATACAATTGATCGATTACATCACGACAGTCCTTTTGATCGGTGGTCCCTTTAGCACCAAACAATTATTTTATCGGACCAAACTATGTGACTCGGCATACTACTCGTTTCCCTGGTGCTGTTTCCAAAAACAAAGCGACTGAAACCTGCTTGCGTAACATCATGCTCCTGTTATCAGTTGAATTTACGATGCGTCGCCTGCATTTCATAGCTATCGCAGCTCGGGAATCATCAAGTAAGATATTCAAAGACAAGCGTGCTAAACATGCCGAATCCTGTTGCTCGCGACTAAGAAACAGAAATGACGGATGGTCCTAGAATCCACAAAGTAAGGCCATGGCCGTGGCAATAGCACACCAGTACAACAGTCGGTTCACTGTGTTGGGGGGTAATCTAATTGGTTAATCTTCGGTGGAAGATGGTTTCAAATCATGGACCTAACAAAACCATTCTCGGACCTGAAAAGGACAACCACCAAAGGTAAAGCTATTCTTATCTCTCTGCGCTCGCGAGAAAACAACACATAGTCTTCGCGTTTTTACTGTTGTTGCTTCCAAAAGCTCTTGAAGTTTGCAACTTGAATTGAAAGACTCTTTTGAACGTGCCAAAACGATGACAACAGAGACAAAGAAAAGACGTGTCGTGCACATGCGGTCTCAAGCAATGGCCGGCGAGGGCGGCTCTCATGGCGATCCCTTGTGGGTGGTCGCCGGCTATCACTAGAGATCGGCCATTGGCGAGAAGAAAAGGGGAAAGAAAACAAAGGAAAAAAAGAAGGAAAATTCAGAAAATTTTAAAAAATTTCCAAAAGTCATCCACATCAGCATCGAACATGTAGCATAGGCCTGCCAGCATGAACGTCAGCAAATTCCGGCCATAATTGGCCAGAATGGACGAAATTGACATATCGTCACAAGACTTGGGACTAATTGACACGATTAAAAAGTTTGGGATCGAATCGATCGCGCTACAATAGACAAATTTCCCAACTCCGGACAAAATTCACCAACACACACCACCTCCCTCCCCCGCGCGCGCCCGGGACAACATCATGTGTCGCGTGCGTGGAATCTGGCGTTCTAAGTTAGGTAGATGCGTATATTCCAAATGCTAATGACAGGATTATTTTATGTAGGGCAGTGCTGGTCACCAACGCAAGCATCATTCCCATTCTAAAGCGTCTCTCTCTGCACAGCTGGTCTCGAAAATAAATTAAATAATGTTATCTTCAATGCTTATCCTTTCTTCTGATGCATTGGAAAATAAAATTTTATGGTCAACTTTGTTCATGATTGGCAATTTATTATTATATAAACTAATAGATTCATTACGTGCATTTTTTGTCGGTTTGTCCCTTACCCTTGTGTCTAATCACCTCCTTTTGTTCCTTTATGGTGACTCTGGCTACTTCTTTTTAATTATTAAATTTTAATAGGCTATTTGTAATCGTGTCGGAGGGCAAATTTTTTTTTTTTCTGTTTGGCATATTCTAACTCTCCTCTCCCTTTTTCAGATTTTTGCATCGCTTCTTTACAAAGCATGAAAGTTGAACCTCACACCTAAAATTGAACGTCTCCATCTTGCCCTTTTCTTATATGAGAGGAACTTGAGACGAGTCACCGCATCTTAGCTTCACGTCCAACGAGAACAGAACTACATTTTGCATTCTTTGTAGTTTAGTATGACCCGACACTGCCTCGTCGGCAATTAGAAAACAAGCAACGAAGCTTTGGCGTTAGCATACTATGACACGGCGATTAGACATTTCACAAGCAAACAAAAGCAAACAGGAATTGATCTCTCCTCGTGCGGGTGAAAACATAATCCTGGAGTCAGACTGTCTAAATCTGGTCAACAGCTTGAAGTCTCCAAAAGGTATGCTGTGGGAACATCGTGCTCTCCTCAGGGAAGCACGTGAGCTACTGTCTTCATTTTCAAACATAAAATTGCAGTTTTGTAATAGGTCTAGGAATAGTGTCGCGGACTGGGTAGTTACGACACACAGTAAAAAAACACTCACTGAACACTGGTTGACTCATCCTCCGCAGGCCCTTAGAGATCTGCTTTGTTTTGAGACCCCGAAAGTGGGTTCTGTCTTTACTAGATATCAATGAACAGTCTTTTCTTCTGATCAAAAAAAAAAAAAAAAGCAAACAGGAATTGATGGTGATGCGTTCTGTGGATTGTGTGGTTGAATTCGCTTCATTTTCTCACCACTCGTCTACACCATCTTTTCTTCCCCGGATCGAAGGAAGATCCCCTCGTACCAATCTCGTGCTTTAGGTACGGTTGGAGGAAAACATGACTATAAGAATACCCAACCTAGAAGTTTAAATCAATGGCCGGAGGAAGACGGCCTTTCAACCCCTTAAACAAATAATGTCGTATACTTCACCTCCCGTTTTTAGCGTGCAAGTCGGATAAAAAACGACGAGCGGAATTTGATGAACGGGGCTGCACGCACGAGATAACTGAAGAACGATCTGACTCTTGTGTCATACTAGAATGTCGAATCCAAAAACTTTTGTCGACAGGTAAAGAGAGACCGTCTATAAATGAATAAAGACCATGTAAATCCTACAAAATACTTTGACAATGACCTTTTTATTATACGAGAATAATCGACGGGAGACCTAATTTCTATCGGCTAATCCTAGAAAAAGAAAAGGAAGAAGAGGAAAGCTTTAATTTCGCTCATAATTGCCCACTTATTCCACAAGATATAATTAGATTTATCTTTTAGTTTGTTAATTAAGTAATCGGGTGGCGTAGGCAATTTCCTCACCGCCAAATAAACAAAGCGATTTCTGTGGAGGGCAGTGGAGGATGATTTCGGCACCCGCTTTCATCATCATCTACGAACGGACTCAAATCAAGACGAAGACAAGTCGCAGCTTCTCTTCTTAACTTCTTTGTGGAATGACTAATCTTCCCAATCTTAATAAAGAAGTCTCTACTCAGGATTACGTGCATTCTCGTATCGACTCGAGTAGATCACATCATTCCAAATTGATAGAGAATTTGGACAACGTCACGTGCATGCGATGATTAATTCGAATGGATAAAGATGTCGTGTTTGGGAAAAGAAAAACCTAAAAATCCTTCGTGTTCGTGTCAAAAGGTAATCCTCTTCAAATTGATGATTGGGGATAGCGTTTCCTAGAATGAAATATTCACGGCAAGACCGGCCAAAAAATCATTCCCTAGAAGAAACAGCACGCATTCAAATTTGAATTTAAGAGTTTTCTTGATAAAGTTCATATAACCTCTTATTTTCCTACGCCTTAGACATGCTTTTTTTTTTCGATTGACGAGCCAAATTTACACAAACTTCTACGGAACTGAAATGTATTTTGTGCATCTAATGCACCTCGTGATAAAGAAAGAACCAACTAAGAAGTGAGACGGCGGGACCTTTAAAAATCTTTAAAACGCCACGTTGTTAGATGTCCACGAGTAATATAATCGATTGTTCACGTCACGATAGCCGTATATATCAATACAAGGATATAATCCTCCTTTTCACTGGAGGTCCCATAGCACCGAACGATTAGTTTTATTGGGACCAAACTACGTGACTGGGCATATGTAGTGCCGGATCTCCATTGTAGAACTCCACAGGAAGAAGCTAAAATTGAGCCATTAGGTTAGGTACTTGTTCCGAAAGGTGACGACAATTTGTTGAGAATCCGGGTCAGCAACTCCAATCAACACGACTTTGAATACTGTGTACCAATCGCAGAATTGCGTCATTATGAACAGCCCAATTATGTAGATGAGAATCCAAAATCACACTCCTGCGTTTTCCAAATCTATCTCGAAATTTTGGAAATTCTTGTTATTTAAAACCATTAGTTAATCGATAGTCCCACAAAAAAAGAAAAATACCCGAACTCTTCTTCGTCCCACCAATGCCCCAAACCGGTACCGATAACTCAAAAGTCCCTTCCGTCCAGACTTGGTCAACGTGGCGACTCGATTCGTTTGGCCAGAGCTGTGTATGAAGGATGTCGTGTCGGATTTTTAATGGTGTTTTTAGGTTATTTGCAAGACGGAAAAGAATAGTTTAGGATATTGGGGTCTTTCGGAAAAAAAATTATGAAGTTTTTTTTGTGGGATTAGTCATAATTAACAATACCCATATGAGCAAATAAACGATGTGATCACCAACCAATTGCTTGACACGATAGCTAACGATACGCTGCTACAAAGCAAGAGCAAGCAGTTCGTGTATCCAATCACAAGAGTTCATGCATGAACCTAAGTAAGGTAAAATTGAATTGGCGGAGTGCCCATCAAAACAAAACGAAAGTCGCATTAGGGTTGGGATTAATTAATCGTTCATGAAAATTTTAGTAGGTGACCACTTAGGTGATTTCGAGTCATTGCCGGCGGGCACTTATGGATGTACCAACTTAAGGTAAAACTGAATTTAAATGTTTCTTTCTACCTAAATTTAGCACGAGGATCTTTAGGTTTAAGTTTTGTTTTTTAGGTCGAACTTTAGGTTAAGTTGAGTCATCGTCATTTGAACATAAAGCGCCGTCCGAAGTTTCGCCACGTGAAAACGACGCACGAGATTGAAAGCAGAGGTAGAGCAAATCCAATATCTATTCCCATGAAGAACGTAAGTTCGAGGGTACAATACAAATAGCTTTGCTAGCAAATTTCCTAAAACGGCAAAGAGGGGGCATGCAGATTTCCCACTTCCGATACAATCGAGTCACGTCGCGGGGACGGACGCCTCCGGAAACGATGGCGGCGCCGCCGCGATCACGATCGAATCGGGGGTGAGGGCGGGGCGGGGGGGCTCAGTTCTTGTTCTTCAGGAGCATTGCGCGCAGCTCGGCCACGTCGATCTCCTCGGGGCGGTTCTCGGGCCTGTAGTACCCGGTCTTCGGGTCGGGCACCCACGAGACGCGCTCGGCGGGTCTGGCCACCTCCTCCCCTGCTTTCTTCGACATCACGGTGCTCCGGGTCGCCGCCCCTGTCTTCGCGAGGCTCGAAGCAACCCCTTGCGACGCCGCCGTCGCGTACCCGCGCCTGCACGCGTATCACGTCACCCGGTTAAGTAAAAGATAAAGCACGCAAAACAAACGCGAGGCAAAAGGTCGAAACTTTATCGAACCCGTTTGGAAACCAAGGGGGAGGGAAAACGGGGGAACGATAACAATCTGTTTTACCCCTGTTTTTTTCCCCGAGGAGAAAACAGAGACCCCACCGTCATCCGAAACGAGGAGGGGAGGGGAGGAAACGGGAAGTACCTGGCGATGGAGGCGGAGACACCGTCGACGAGGGCGGCCGAGAAAAGCTTGGCGGCGGCGTTCGAGAGGGAGCGGGCCATTGTTACGACGATTTTGCTTGCACAAAGAATCGAAGCAAAGAAGGGGGTTTGCTCTGCCGTTTCCCGACGCTGCTGCTGCAGAAAGGGTATTCTTCTACAGGAGCGAGAGGGGGAGGGGGGGGAGACGTTTCTTGGTTTCTGGAAACTCTTCCTCTCTCTCTCTCTCTCTCTCTCTCTCTCTGCGTTTTAAGATGGGTGGGAGAGAGAGGAGGGCTGGGCCTGTATATATATAGAGAAAGAGAAGAGGAGAGAAGAGAGCAGAGAAGAGAGAAGCGTTGGGGGAAGAAGGAGGGAAAGGAAGGGACGGCGAAAGAAGGTCCACAGGAGGTCGGGCGCGGCCAGGTCAAAGACGCCTTTCCCCGCTTGGCCACTTGGCGGTGACTACGTAGAGCCGTCGTTTTATGGGATTTTTTAGATATTACTCACACGGGACTACTACATGAAAGCCCCCATATATAAAAGACCAAACTGTCCCCGTTCTTGCAAATTCATTGGATCGATTTGCTTAGGGTTTGGCTACTGTAGTTTTTAATTGATTCTGCGCTTTTTGAGTGGGTTAAGAGAATTTAGAATTCGGGGATGGGCGTTTTCCAAAGACAAAAATTTGCGCTTTCAGAAATAGAGGCACGAAGATGATTGATGCGAATGTGTAATGTGGTCTCCAAACATAAACTTTGGGGTGCTCATTAGGTGGGCTCTAACCGAGAGCGTGCTCGAGCCCGAACCTCCTGAGGTCCGGCATGCCCAAGCTTTGCCCGGGCCTGCTAAGGGTAAAACATAAGCGGGCTAGCGGGACACCTTCTTTATAATTTTAATATTTTTCAGCTAAAAAGATATATAGACACGATAAGCGGATGGAAAATTATTTTAGGCGGGGTATGTTACTACATATTTTTCTTAAGATACTCAATGAAATTTTTTGTTGCCATTATGGGGTAAGTAATTGTTACTCGACCTTGTCTCGATTGGTGCAGGCTTATAGATTTGTGACGATATATGTTCCCCTTTACTCATACTATGCGCACTGCGAATGAACATGGTTCCATGTCACGCGAGCTAAGGAAAAGAATGTATATCTTATTATCTTTTGGTAGTTTCTGCTCTCATAACGATTTGGTCTCAAGTGCTTTCGAAATTATAAATCGTACCCTTTGAAGTGAGCAACTTATTGAAAAGGTACAATATTTGCAATTTCGATGTTCCTTGAAAAGTTTGTTTTTTTTTTTCCTTGGTTTCAGGTGACTTTACTAATGCCATGTGGTCACTTGCTAATAAGACTTTTTCCCTCTTACACAATTCGACCAAGTAAGGACAAAATCTACATTGGTTTGCTCTTTTAGGACCAATTCTTCTTCTTCTTCTTCTTCTTCTTCTTCTTCTTTTTATTTTTTATGGGTTCTTCGTGGAGAATGCAATGCAATGAGCATCATCGTTTGAGAGTCTTCGTGTTGGGAAAGAAGGTTCGATCGAGTCAATCAGCTTGGTCCAAAGTAGAGACTTGCACGAGAAGTTGACTCGTTCTTTGGGCCCATCCGAGCACGTGAAAGGACCTTTCTTCACGAGGAGGGGGGCCGTTTCCTCCGGACCCCGTGTGAGTAGAGAAAAGAAAGTGACATCGGCGGACGTCGATGAGAGGGGATCGTGGCCGCACACGCGTCGAGCACCGATAGAAGGATGGCGGCGGCGGCGAAGACACTTCCTCCGTGCTCTGGAAGGTCCCGACCACATGTTTTTCACGTTCCTTTGTTAATTTAGGATTTACCAAACCCAAAAAAACAAAAACATGTAATGATTATATGTAACAGAATCGATGCTTTGGGCCCGTTTCACCGACCGAGACTGTCCTGGGTAGTCATTCGGCAATTAATTAAGAGAAAATTACAATTTCCGAAACTGAGCAAGTTCATAATGAGCATAGAACAGGTCTTCTTTAGGATATTTATTAACACACTTGAGTAAAAGACATTGCGTGTACTCGTCTTTTGGATGTGATGAACGGCAATTGTGTGAATAGTATGAACTTGCTCGTTCTTATGGAGTGCAGTATTATCTCGGGTAAAACCGAACCGACCACCCATGAAAACAGGTCTGATTGTCAATTTTAGTGGAAATAGGTCCGCGTCCCGGTTCCAAACTTTTGGAACCGAAACTGTGCGAGTAAGTTGCAGGTCCTGGGTGCTGAATCCACTCACCCACCCAGTCAAAACCGGTTAGAACTTGTTTTATAAATGAGCTCGACTTCCTTATTTTCTTCATATTCAGTTTGTTTTGTATCGATATTTTTCTTTGAGTCATTCTGTTGCTCATACTATTTTACTGTAATTATTATTTGTCTTAGTTTTTTAAAAAGACGAAGCAAAAAAAAAAAACCGTTTTCTGGTAGGTCTTGAAATCGGACTGGACAATTAAGATAGGTTCCAGGGTTGGTTCTAAGATAGATAGGATAGGTTTCAATTTTCAAAAACCGTGGACCGATTCTAACCGGGTAAATTCTCTGGAGCCTACCTAATGTGAAACCGATCACTCATAATATTGTCACGTCACAATATACCACACATAAATTTATCCACCGATAGATAAACGACACGAGCGACATTTTGATCTTCTTAGCAAGTGGTAAGATTTTGATCTATAATAATACGTTTCAAAAAGGTAATAAAAAAACAGGGCAATCGAGGACATTTTCTCCTTTAACTATTTTTAATGAGGAAATATTTCGATTATCAATACGTGGGTTCAAGAAATTATTTTATAAATATGGATATGAATTATTGTAATTAGTTTTGTACGGGTGGATGATTAAAACGGAGAGAGGAGCAGCAAATTGGGATACGTCTTCGTCCTGGTCACAGCTCTTTGCCAACTGGGAACGCATCCCTGGGGGGAGGATGTTTCTGGGTCACAGCTTTTTCACTACTGGACGAGCCGCCCCCGCGTGGTGGAGCCGACGAGCGCATCATAGCGAGAGGCCAGTTCACCTCCCCGTGGTCACACGTCCGTGTTTTTGCTCCGCTCGTGTTTCATGTCTGGTGCGCACCTTTTCACCTCGTGAGCTTTTCACGAAAGAGATAGGAATCGATGGTTTGCGCACATTCACACGCCCCAGCGCGGGGACCTTTTCAACAGGGGCAAAAGTCGGGACGACCCTTCCCATTTTTCTCCCCTCTCCCCGAATTCCGTGTTCTCTCTGGAACCCGGGCATTGATGAATTCCGGCTGGTGACGCCGGGATTATGGGGCAATGCTCTGCTTTGGGCAGCCTGGTTCGGTTCTGTTCTGTTCCTATTGGTTTCTCATCAGCTTCCTTGCTCTGCTTTCATTTTAGAGTATCTTTCTTGCACAATCCCGTAACATGTTTAGCCCGATTCGTGTGGACCGTTAGATTACGCGTGCGCACCTCATTCGATGGCGCATGCGAATCGAGCTCGCGTGCTCCGGGATCATGCAATAATTTATCTCTGTTTTGCTCCACACATCGGGAGGATTTTGTTTAAATGGAGAAAACAGTCTTCAATGCACCAACTATCATCGTACGTGTTGCGTTACGAGCAATCACTGATTCGGAAGTCGTATCATTCCGAACTAAGTATATTTGATAAGTGCTTAGAGATGTTAGTTGGCGCGACTACCTTCCGGTATAGATTCGATTGTTTCAAGATAAGAAATATTTAACTCAATAGAATGCGCCCGAGGGTTATGGGATGACCGGATGACAAAATAGCGAGGTTACATCCTTTTAAATTACCTCTAATGTTTGACAAATTATCGATTTCAGTGGCGTAGGTGAGTTAGAAGTTTGCCAGTAAACTTACCGATTAAGAGCTACGTTTGAATTAATTTATGGCTCTGTCTGTCCACCTAACCAAGACCGAGAACCATAGAAAACAGGGCGAGTTTTTGATATTCTACCTTGTTCTCACCATCTAATTTCAGTTTTGTCAATCAAAGCAGGCGAGTTCCTTCCGTTTAAAGGGAAAGGTCGCTAGAACTTAAACCGAGACGAGGGAAGCTCGAGCATGGAAAACATCCCCAACATGGTTGGATTAAAACTTGATAGCGATAGACACGGAATCTGGTTTAGCAGGAACAGGAGGACTGTCCAAAAAGTTCAATCCTTAATGTTGTACTTGAACAGAGCAGTTGATAACAATGTCTTGTTCGGTGCAATATATTGCCTAACAATTTCCTAAAACAGCGGAGAGGGTATGCAGATTCCCACTTCCAATCCAATCGAATCATATCGCAGGACGAACGCGTCCGAAACGATGGCGTCGCCCCAATCACGATCGAATCAGGGAGATCAATAATCAGTTCTTGTTCTTCAAGAGCACCGCACGCAGCTCGGCCACGTCGATCTCCTGGGCGCGGTTCTCGGGCCTGTAGTACCCGGTCTTCGGGTCGGGCACCCACGAGACGCGCTCGGTGGGTCTGGCCACCTCCTCCGCTGCTTTCTTCGGCATCACGGCGCTCCTGGTCGCCCCTGTTTTCGCGAAGCTCGAAGCAACCCCTTGCGACGCCGCCGCCGCGTACCCGCGCCTGCACGCAAAATCACGTCGCGCGGTTAAGCAAGAGATAAACACGCAAACAAACACCAAGGGGGAAGGAAACGGAGGGACGAGGAATGCTCTGTTTTACCCCTGTTTTTTCCCGAGGAGAAAACAGAGACCCCATCATCATCCGAAACGAATAGGTTAGGCGAGGAAACGGGAGAAGTACCTAGCGATGGAGGCGGAGATGCCGTCGACGAGGGCGGCTGAGAAAAGCTTGGCGTTCGAGAGCGAGCGAGCCATTGTGATGACGATTTGCTTGCACGAAAGAATCGAAGAAAAGGAGGGGGGGGTTTGCTCTGCCGTTTCTCGACGCTGCTGCTGCAGAAAGGGTCTTTTCCTACAGGAGCGAGAGGGGAGCCGTTTCTTGGTTTCAGGAAACTCTCTCTCTCTCTCTCTCTCTGCGTTTAAGATGGGATAGAGAGAGTAGGGTTGGGCTATATATATAGAGAAAGAGAAAGAGAAGAGAAGAGAAGAGGAGAGAGAGAGAGAGACGCGTTGTGAAGGAGCGAAGGGACGGAGAAAGAACGCGCCTTTTGTGCTTGACCACACTTGGTGATGACTTACGTAGGGGCCGTTTTGTGGGACTTTTCCTTATTTCTTTAATTCGTTCGCATTGTTCTAGAAAGGAAGGTATCTGGGAAAGTATAAAAAAAACATGCATATCAATTTTTTTTTAACTCAACTCCACTTTGCATATCTCTATTTTCTTTTAATATTATTCACGTGGCTCCGCGTAAAACCCAATATTGAAACGATCAAATTGTCTCGTTCCGAAAATTCATATATGCTTAGGGCTTGATTGGTGTGGTTTCTACTTGGTTCCGAACGTTCCAGTTGGGTAGGAGAATGTAGAATCTGGGAACGGGTGTTTTTCGGAAATAGAGACACACGGGAATAATTAATGTGAACGTGCAAAGCGGGCTGGGGCTGGGAATTTAAACTTTACTATTTGAAGTAAGCGGCTTTAAATTAAGATGCATGATATTTTAAGATCTAAGTTGTCTTGAAAACAGTGCAATCTTCAAATTCAATTAACCTAACTAATGCCCTACGGTCACTTTGTTAACGGGGACATCTTTTGCATGATTCAACCAGTTAAGAAAGAACAATCGACCATTCTTTCTAGAAAGCAAATTTAAGGACAAAGTTTTACAAACTTTTTCTTTTGGCCCTTCAGGACCAACTTTTTCTCGGGGATCTTTGGAGAACGATGCAACGATCAGCAGCAGCATCATCATCGAGCCTTCGCATGTTCCTGGGTAGCGGAGGGAGACAGGAGAAGGTTCGCTCGAGTCAATCAGCACGCTCTTGAAAGAGACTTTTGCACCAGAAGTCTTGACTCGCCCCCTGGCCCCATCCGAGCACGTGAAACGAGCTTTCCCTCCACGAGGAATTACCGGCGTTCCCTCCGGCTCCTGTGGATAGCAAATAAAAAAACACAACACGCGATGAATTTCGGTGCGTTATGCACGATAAGAATACAAAGGCTCCATCTTTTTCGCGAAAAATGAATAATAAATAAAAATTTCATAAGATGATTTATTGTATCGCTTGACATAATTAACCAATAAAAAATATTTTCGCTGTCGATAATAATTTATGTCTAAATATTTTCGTAAACGATAGAAGTTTTCTCGTTTATTCATCTTTAGAGAATTGTTTTTCATGTCGTTACTTTTTCGTGAAACAAACGGAACCCAAGATTTGAATGCTTTCATGGGTTTCACTAACCGAGTGTCCTGCTACTAATTAAGCAATTAATAATAATAAAATTACAATTTCTGCTGCGGCTGTTGTTTTTCTTGTTATGCATATTCATTGCTTTATGAAACTTTACGGTTTGCAAGATTATTCTTGTGTCATGTGCAATAACTATGTTAAAACGTGTAGTTTTCAAAATTAAGCATGTTCATGACGAGACGGGTATCTTTAGGATATGTATTAACATATTAAAGTAAAAGATATTATAAGTACCCTCATTTTTCAGATGTAATGGACAATAATCGTGTGGATTGTGAACATGAACTTGCACTTTCTTATGGTGTACAAAGTTATCACATGACAATTTACTGCACATAAATTTATCCGTTCAGAACTGACATCCGTACTGTTTTGATCTTCTTAATAAGGGGTGAGACTTTGATTTACAATAATAATATATTTCAACAAGATAATAAAAGATAGGACAATCCATGGCATTTTTGTAAGGGATTTCGTTAACGGGGCTTCACCCATTAGGTATATTTAATGAGAGAATATTTCAATTTTAATGCATCGGTCGCACGTAATATAAAAAGTTACTATTTTTTTTCTTAAATAGACATTGAACAAGTGTTTTTGGAGCTCTCGTTAGAAAAATCATTCTATAAATATGAACATGGATGATTATAATTAGTTTGTATAGATGGATAATTAAAGGGATAATGACACAAACGGTCTCTGAACTTTGGCACAATGTGTAATTTAGTCCCTGAACTTTTAATTTGTTCAATATAGTCCATGAACTTTAGGTTAATGTTCAATGTGGTCCATGAACTTTTAATTTGTTTAATGTCATCCATGAACTTTTGGTACATGTTCAATTCAGTCCCTGAACTATATGAAAATGTTCAATGTAGTCCCTGAACTTGAATTAATGGAAATGACTGCATTGAACATTTTCATATAGTTCAGGGACTGAATTGAACATGTACCAAAAGTTTATGGATGACATTTAACAAATTAAAAGTTCAGGGACCACGTTGCACATCAGGTTAAAATTCAGGAACTATATTGAACAAATTAAAAGTTCAGGGATCAAATTGCACATCAGGTTAAAGTTCAGAAATTACATTGAACAAATTAAAAGTTTGGATATCAAATTGTATATTAGATCAAAATTCAGGGACTGTTTGTATTATTTTGCCGTAATTAAACGGAGAGAGGAGAAGGCACGTGGTATATGTGTTGGTCACAGCTTTTGCCAGCTTGGGATATGTCGGGGTCACACAGCTTTTTGCCCAAGTTGACAAAAGCCGCCCCGTGAGAGGGAGCCAGTGAGCGCTGATACGCTGTGCCGATGCTCACGTGGGGGTCACGTCCCTGTCGTTTTCGCTCGGTGTTCGAGAAGAACCATCCCGTTTCCCCGGTCGTTCGTCGCTCGTGCTCGCGATCACTTCTGACCTCCCGCCTTTTCGCCGCCGTGAGCTTTGCGAAGATCCACAAAAAAACCAAAAATGATAAGAATCGACGGGTCGCGCACATTCACGCGCGCAACGCAGGCCAAATGCCAAAAACAAGTTTCAATAAAGATCACTCGTTCGGCGACCTTGCCCCTTTAAGTGATGAAGACGGTGAGGCCGCTCCAAAGCCGAAAGCGATGGCGAATCGCGAACTTGCCCCGTGCTCATCCGGACCGGCCTGAAAAGGCGATCGGGCGATTGGAAAGCAAAGCCCTTCCTTCCAATCCAAGCCGACAAAGCCCCCCCTATATCTAACCGCCACTCCCACTCGGACCAAGACACGACTTTTACCTGTTCGAATAACAATTGAGGTAAAGCAGGGTCGGGTACAACGAATCTCTTTATGATGAACGGATCCATTTTGCAAGTTTGTTATTACGGGTTGTTCCTACAAAGAATAGGACTAATGACGTATACAATACTTGAATTCTCGATGCAGATGCTACATGTGGTTTTCATCATTCAGAGGCTACGAGTGCATAAGAGTATCTGACGACAAAAGGATCATACGAAGATGATTATCTCATGGCTATTAAGAACGAACCAAATCGGATGTTTTTATTTGACTTGCTTGGGAATATAAATGGTCTTACTTTTTCAAAGGATCAAGAAAAAGCGCGGTTGCTTGAGGGAAAAAATTACCCGCGTTACCTTTCTCAAATAAAAAGCTATATCGTTTTAGTAGTGTTTGGCTCATTCTTTTCGGATAACCTAAACAGCTTTCGATGACACATATGGGTGAGCATATACTAATTGTATCGATACCTAAAGAAAAAAGATCGATGGCTTCATGTCATAAGTGAATCAATCTATTTATATGCAAATATATAATAGCTTTAAACTGTTTATGACACGCTTAGAAACGTGTTTGTGTCCATGTTAGCATGTTACTTATCATGTCAACACCATACTTTTAGCTAGATTTAAAATGAGTTTATATACTCTTAGGACGCATTTTCACAAAATTTATACAGTTCACAATGATTTCAAGTGCACCCCATAGCCTTCATAAGAATATCGATTTTGAGTTTCGATGTTGGGATTTGATCAATAACCACGTCATTTCGAGTTAGGCATAAATTTCAACCGAAAGTATCATGGCACGACATGGTACAAACAGAGAGTACGAAGCCACTCTATTTCTAGCTTCACGAGACAATGCCATCCCAAGTAAGCGCTAGAAGAAAAGAAATGAGAAAATCGTCAGCAGTTTGCATACGTTGACAGCGTTCACAGAATCAGAGAAGAAGAGCTTAACACAGCTCAACCCTCGGGTTCGGGAAGTATAGTCAAATTCATAAGACCGAGATTGTCTCAGCTCATATCGACCGTTTTAAGCCAACTAACAGGCCACATGCCGACTTCCTACAATGAAATCTCGACGATGGATTTCGCGGAAATGTGTACTTATCAGCACGAGATCATTCAGGGTTCCAAAAACAGATTTCTCGTTTTGTCGATTGGGGTCCAAAAACAAATTGCTCGTTTTGTCGATTGGGGTGCTCTCTCACTAGCAAAAAAGACTAGATAAGACATGTCGACGCCTTCAGTGGCTCGACCCTCTGGATTTCACATCAACCGCGTACACACACGTGAGATTATATATGGGATTTCGCTATAACATGGTATGTGTGCACGTAAGATTATGCAAGACTTCTCTGCTAACGAAAACATGCTGTCTGTCCGAGACCCACGATACAAAAATTTCACGGCAAATGATATTGTTGCACTTTGTAGAATCGGCAAACCTCTGTGTCCTCTCTCGAACCGATCATTAATGAATTCCAAATGGCGATGCCGATTATGTTGTTTTGTTGTTTTGTTGTTTTTTTTTTCCTTTGCCGGTTGGTTTCCTATAAGCTTGGATTTTATTTTAGATTGTGTTCGTCTTGCTTGGAGAGTACCTTATCCGACAGTGCAGAAGAATTGAGCTCACATGCATCGAGATCGTGTTATAATTGTTGTTTATTTTATTCCATTCCGTGGTGACCGGCTTGCCTATGAAAGGGTCATCTCCCTGCACCCCCGCGTGCCTGTCCGTGCCTATGCAAAAACTGCGTGGTAACAGCAATAATAGTAAACAAAAATTGTGGTTTTGATTACACTAGGAGGGTTTGGTCAATTAAAAAAATAAAATTCTCCTGCCTTGGATGCACCAACTATTCTCGTACGTGTTACGTGCATTTACTATTTA